AAGGAGTAGTAGTAGTAGTAGTAGAAGTAGTAGTAGTAGTAGTAGTAGTAGTAGAAGGAGTAGTAGTAGTAGTAGTAGTAGTAGTAGAAGGAGTAGTAGTAGTAGTAGTAGTAGTAGTTGTTGTTAGTTGTAGTTGTAGTTGTAGTAGTAGTTTTAGTAGTAGTAGTAGTAGTAGTAGTAGTAGTAGTAGTAGAGGAGCAGTACCAGTTGCAGTAGGAGTAGCAGTAGCAGTAGCAGCAGCAGTCGGAGTGGCAGTAGCAGTAGCAGGAGCAGGAGCCGGAACCGGACCCGTGGCCGTTGCAGTTGCAGTAGGAGTATCTAGTAGCCTGCAGCAAGCTACAGAATCGCGGAGTGCCTAGCAGTACACCTAGTAGTATTCAGCAGTATCTAAAAGTACGTGGTAGTATCTAGTACTGCCTAACAGTATCTAGCAGCATCTAGCAGTAGCTGGCAGTACCTAGTGGTTTCTAGTAGTATCCAGAAGTACGCAGTAGCATGCAGTGCTGCCTAGCAGTATCCAGCAGTATCTAGTAGCATCTTGTAGTAACTTAGTATCTAGTAATTAGTATCTAGTCGGATGCAGTTGCATGTAGTGGCGAGTAGGAGGATTTAATGACATGAGGCGGCTTTCGTATTACACGTGACGTCATAGTAGCACTCTTAACAGCGGACCGTAGTACTTCTGGTTGCTTGGTACAAGATAAGGGAAGTTTCAACAACGGATATGATGAGGCTCTACAGCCCCAAGATTCAGAGTATTGTTGCAGCTTTGGAACACCTACAAGCTTGTGCTCTGTTTGAAATTTGCCCTTCTAGTGTTTCACCACAGCTACCCTCACCCCACCCCACCTCACTTCATCCCACCCCTCCGCCCAAAAACACGCACTCTGAAATTTTGAACCCTATCTACAATCTACAGAGAATACAAGGGCATGCCACACTACAAAAGCCCTGTCACTTGAATTGCCGGCCTGTTAAGATGCTTCTGAATTCCGACATGTCGAGATTTCTGAGACGCCAAGATTCGACATTACTTGATCGACATTCGACGCACCCTCGAGCTCGAGAAAGTCGGTGCCCCGGTGCTTCGGTTGTCTCTGCAACATGTTGCTGAAGAGAGCAAAAGCAGCCTGGGGCAGGCGAACTGCCAGAAAATCTTTCTCAGGCCAGCTGTCTGCTGTCGGGGGTGGGTGTTGTAGCAATTTGCATGGGATCCTTTAGTCAGTTGCTTCCGAGCCTTAGACTAGAGGAAAGACAGCGAGAAACGACTCTACGATGATCGGCCTGATCGACAAGAGCAGGAGACGGTGGAGGCCTTGTTGCGTTGACTGCCTTTCGGGCTACTCTGAGGTATCAGGCAAAGCACTGCCATTCACATGCTGGCGGGCTGGCGGCCTTGTCGCTGCTAATTCTCCTCTGCAGGTAGACGACTCTGACGAAGCCATTGCGACTGATTTGCATTTTGCAGCCAGCAAGAGAGCTCGAAATGACTTGTTGAATACCCAGGACCTAGGCCAATGCACCCGGCTGCCTGAGCTTGATAGGAATGCTCAGGAGGCCAAGCTACGTGCGCTGCGCGGTGGTGGGGGCTGGTGCTGCTGCGGGCCGGAGCACAGCATGTTACTGCAAGTCTGTCGGGTCGGTACCTTGCCTGCTGTACCGAATCTATTGTCCGGTTCTAGTTTCTCTTGGAGGCGATGCCACCTAGGCTCAAAGCAAAGGGATGTTTTGAGAGCTATCACCACTGCTAAAGAGTTCAGATCCAATGCACTTAGCCTTTAGCATAGAAGCAGAGATGTGGTGAGCAGGTACCGAACCTTGTGCAATTGGGTCAAAGACTCCCCGCGAAGAACTGAGTTTAACAGCGGTCCAGTAAGCATCACGCAGCGCATCCACCAAGAACAACGTTTAACCGATTTTAACCGCCTCATGGAAGATGCCGTGGAGCGGCGAGCAGCCAGAGCTTATCTGGAAGGGAGGTCAGCTGCCGTGAAAGACTTTCTGTCTTGATGAGATATGCGCAACTGTACAGCCCACGTCGAGTCTGTTCTGTTTGAGTAAGGGGATGGTGGGTTTCCCGGATCCCGAGGCAGACCGTGTCGCGGACCTTCTATAGCGGCAGCGTGGCATTAATCCAGATAGTGCAAGTGAGAGAATCAGGTGCCAAGCTCGACATCCGACATCCCAACCTCGTTGCATACTTTTGAAGGTGACTTCTGTCATAGGCAGTTGCGCTTCATGGCTCTTACTGTTCTTGGGAGACTCGTATGGCGAGGGATACCCAAGCCCAAAGACGCTCGAGCTTGCTCCCCAGGCGAGGTGCTCTTTGTGGGCAAGGGTTTTGCCTGGATCAAGCTGCTTGCATCCTTGCTGCACATTGGATGTGTCATGCTGGTACCGTGTCTTATGAGATATGGGAAAGACTGGGCTGACGAGTCTCAGCACAGGCGGGGAGGTAACATGCATGCCTAGCCGCAAACTGATGCTGGAACAGTGCGCAAGTGTTGTCAAGTCGCGTTGAGGATGCTCCTGGTGACGAGGCAGGTCTTTCCAACAGGTGGAGCGAACGCTCGACTTTCAATGTTCCGAGCATGCCTTCCCGCTTGCTGGAGTGCAAGACCTGTGAGGTGCCAGAATCCGTACTCGAGCAGCTCCGAGAGATGACAGCCGCTCTGCTGCATAAAGAAGGTGAGACGATTGCGGCAGTTGGGAGCACGAGCTGAATCCGCCAGCGCAGCGGCGTTGTCGTGGGGCCGTGGGAAGTTGCGATCCAGGCAGCTGTCAAGAAGAAGTCGCGGACGCAGCTGCGGCACAGGAAGGCGAAAATCGACGAAACTGCGGCTAGGCTACAGCAAGTGCACTTCGGCATGTGACGGTGCAGTGGCATCGTTCACGCTGTTTTGCAGGGCTTTGAGTCCAGGGGGCCGATATAGCAAAGCCGAAGCTCTCCAAGCGCACAGGTCGAGTATGTCGTGGCCTGAGAGCGGTCGGGGCATACGGAGCCCCAACAGGATCGGTTCCGTTCCTTCGCACAGAATCTTAGGTGGTCTACGTCAGCGCATTAGACCTGTCAGATACACGGCCACTTCGCCCGGGGCTGAGCATGCTTTTTCCAAAACGATGTCGGCCGCTCTGAGCCTAAGGTTTGGGGGCACAGGTCAAGATGAGGCTGCCTGAAGAAAGAGTGAAACTGCAAAGAGACCGCAAGATTTTTGCTCACTCCACTTCATCCTTTGCTTGTGAATGGCATGGGGAGGCTCTACTCAGACACGCGCGGCGTCGGCGGTGAGGATGTGGAGGCGCCCCGGCAGGACAGCTTTTCCCAAATGAAGCCAAGAACGAGACTTGAGTGCTAAGGGCAGTGGTATTTGGAAGAAATGTTTAGGCATGGTTCAGTATGCTTTGATCTGTGAAGCTCCGATTCTCGCCTCGTTTTCAGTGACGCCTTGGCCTGTTTGTACTCTCAGGCTTATCAAGCGCGCACAAATTTTGGTCGTTTTACTTCTCGGGAAATTTGCACACCTCCTTGGAGCCTTAGTCTCCACCTTCTCGAAAACATTGTCGCTTGTGTCTTTACGGACCACGGTCTGCATTCCTGGACAGGTTCTCGGCTTCTCTCCACATCTCCCTGTCCTGGGTATCGCCTGAAATCCTCAGCATGCCTCTCTTTGCTCACGGGAGCATTGTAGAGAACGGTGAAACTGAACATCTGCATCGCGAAACAAGCAGACATCCATACCGAGATGCGAAACGTCCTACGGGGCGAAGGCTCCAAGAAGAAGCCAACAGGCCGTGGAAATTCATAGCCCCAAATATCCTCTGACCAGCATCCGTCAACCAACTTCAGTCGCCGCTTGTCAGGGTGCATCTGCTGATTGTTGATTCATACATTCTTTCTTTCATTGTCTTGCATTTGCTGCCGGTGAGGTCACGGCTGAACCGGAGCTCCCATCTCAGGCCTTTGGGCATCGGGTCTCATTTTGTCTTCTTGGCGGTCCTTGCCTTGGTCGGCCAGGTGGAAGAGCCGGAGGCTGCGCTGTGCTATGCTGTGCTGCTCTGCTACTTGTACCTCTGCAGTGTTCACTACATGTTGCAGGCTCCTCCAGAAGAGGATGCTGAGGCTGGGGCAATGCGGCCATGCCTGATATGCCATGCTTGCTATGCTTGCTATGCTTGTGCTATGCTCTGCCAACTGAGCATCGAAACAGTGCTCGGAGCTGTACTGGATGTGATGTGCTTCCAGCAGGCTCAGGACCACAAACCGCGGTACATGCGCAGCTTCGAAACCAAGGCTTGAGAAGCAATGCAGGGAAGAACGTAAGACGGAGTATGCCCCTGCAGCCCGATGCAGGTCGCCGAGGAAGAGCGCCAGGTCCTGGAGTCTCGGCACATCATTCGGCACGAGCCGAGCATGCGTTCACGGCTGTTGGGTTTTGCGCTGCAGAAGCTCTCGCCTTGTTTTTCGGTTGCATCGTTTTGTGAAACAAGGACGGCAGCTACGAAGGAGAGGTCGTGCGTCGCGCAAAGACATATGCCGCTCTGCTGGTTTGGCTTCGGGCTACTCCGGATGATGCAGACCACTGTATGCGAAGACGACATAGCACTACAGAAGATCCTCGATATCGAGAAGGAAAGGTTATGTGCGATGGGGCTCGGCTTGCTTGGTTTACTTGCCTGACTAAGTTCTTCGTGAGGCCTGGATTCGGCCCGTTTCTTCTGAGAAGCTTCCCGAGCACGTCCGCCTCAAACTCAAGGAGATGTGTGACGGGCCGGGCACCCTGGAACAAGAAGAAGTGCGAAGTAGAATACTCGTAGCCGGTCGAGGGGTGCGCATGGAGAACAAGCTGTTCGCAGGTTCCGGAAAAAGGCAGAGGATGGCGGCCGTGGAAAGCCCTTTTGTGGAGGCCGGACAGAGCATTGCACAGCCCGCGAGAAAAGGAAACCACGTGGAAGACATGTGGCTGCGTGCTTCCTCTAACAAGATAGCTCCAACAGGATGTCACGAGTTTGAGCCTTGACTCCCTCTCGTACACAACGGTTTCGTTTTTTGCCGGCTGGTGACTCTGCAGGGATTGAAGATGACGTTGTGTGACCCGTCTGCAACAGATCTCGAAGCACTGGCATTTTGCTCTTTTGCCAGAGATTTGCGGAGGAAAGTTGGAATATCTGCAGAATGCGCATTTTTTTATCCTGCTTCTTGCCAAGTCTTCTCAAGGTATGTTGCCAATCCCGATCTTTCAACGAAGGGCACTATCCTCAGTGTCGGCATGAAGGCGTGGGAGCTGTCTTTGCTTGGCCCGGGGGACTCCCACTCCACCAGCTCCTCTTCCATGCCTTGCCAGGTTAGCTTCAAGCTGTACATGGACAAGAAGGCTCCGATGCAACAATCGTTGGCACATGAAGTTTGATGTATGCCTTCTCCATGGAAGGGTGTGGGGGGGTACGATGTGACTGCCAGCGAGGAGCACATCGCTGGAGACTCAGAGGGTGTCAGTTTGGTTGCTGTTTATGTAGGTACAGCATCTGTACTTTGTCCACGCACCTCCGCTAAGCAGGAAAAGATGCTGGAGGCGATACGCAAGAATTTCGAGACCCAGGAGCCGCCGGGCCGCACGCGGGGGCCATGCGGGGGCCGCGCGCGGGCCGCGCGGGTCTTGGTCCTTGCCTTTTTGCCGTGGCCAGGAGGGCCGGAAGAAGTCGCTGCAGCTGCGCGATGCTTTTGGCGAGGTGGGGCTCTGCGCTTGGCTCTGCAGAATGGCTCTGCACGCCCTGCTCGGCCTCTCAGGGCCCGGAGAGTTTCAAGGACGTTCTTTGGGTGGGGGAATGACGTGACCTCAGAGCTGAAATCAGAGGCTTCGCCTCCCAAGTCACAGCATTTTTGAGACAAACAAAACTCTCGCAGCTTGGCTGAGGCACACATTCCTTCTCCTTGGCTGCAGGTGGGCGTAGAGAGCGCTTCCAGTCCTGCACGACATGGCATGTTTGGGCTTGTCGGTTTGAGGCCGGCTGGCTGGTGTCATACCATTTGCGGATGCCGCTCGAAAGGAAATCGGAGTTCAGGTCCGGGGTCGTCATTCAATCAGGCGGGTGGAGGCCCATTGCATGGGTTGAAGTTTCTGTGCGGCTGGGCAGTGTGGCGTCATTTCCAGAGAGCCGGAGAAAGGCCATAGTGCAGGAAGGCAACATACAAGTTGAGTGGAGATGGCCGGGGTCGGACATTCCCTTGAGTCACCCGGCGATTCATTCATTGACCGCACCATCTCCAACCACTGCTGGGATCCGAACTCGAACGGATGCTTCGTGAAAGTGGCTTCTCAACACATAAGCTCTGTGTTGCGGGATTTGCTGAGGAGGCGAGCCATCCCTTCAGCTTGAACAAGGCAGAAGGGGCACTCGGAGTGTCCGTGCTGAAACCGGGTTCAAGTTTGTTGAAATTTGTAGTTTAGTAACAGTCCAACAGTGTAGCGGCTGAAAGGCATGCTGGTGCTCAACGGAACTGAGATGGCCAAGTGCCTTGGCAAGCCATCAGTGCAAGACAAGGACGACAAGCACATGAAGTTGCACTCGACAAGAAAGGCTGAAGAGAAGTCGTGTTGAGGAACACTCGAGAAAAAACTCGAGCTGGACCTAGTGGAGAACATCAAGCTGTTGCGACACACGGCAGAGGTTCACTCGGACCCTTCTCAGCGGGAGTCTTTGTGCTTCTGGCTCTCAGCCGAGGATCGAAGGAAGCCACTTTCCTGCATCTCTGCCCCAACAAATTCGCCTTCCTCCTTGACTCGACTCTAGGTTTGGTGCGCGGATGACGTCAACGGAGTGAAACTGAAACAGACTTTGGAGAAGGCGAAGTGTCCGCACAGCAGTTGCTTGGCAGACTGCGCGTGTTGCGCATTCAAGCGAAGTGCAGTTCGGGCAAGTCAGAGTCGGGCCATGGAGCCTACCAGGCTTCGACACAATCTTCTGGATGATGCCCTATGTTCCGGATAGACAGTGGCGTCCGCCTGCTAGCAACTTCACATGCAAGTAGTCCTGTCTGAGCGGAGTGGGGGGGTTCGGGGAATACATCTACACGTGTTTTTTACAACCGCAGGAATTGAAAAGCAGCAACCCGGCCATGTCACCTGTCCGAAACAACTAAGCGTGCAAGGCGCTCTTTTGCTACTCTTCAACCGTACAGCTCTACAAGGACTCTACAAGACAATGCGGCCCGGAGGCAAACCAACACCAAGGCCAATGAATCCAGTGTCCCAGCACCCATGACTGCAAACACCAACGTGAACAACCATGCACGACTTCCACGGATATCTGCTGCGCAGTGCCGCAGCAGGATTTCACAAATTGCAGTGTCATTCTTCAATGAATTCAGTGCCTTCAGTACCCGTGCTGAGTCTGTGATTCACCTCGGGGCATTTGGGCCACGCAGCAAAGGTCCATTCTACGCTAAGCAGACCGCATCGAACATCAGACTAGCTATTTCCCCTTCTTTCGCTCAAAGGCAAATCCCGATAGATCCATGTGCTTCTAGAGTTTAACGTCCACAGGACCAAATGCAGTGGTTGTAACGCATTTTCATCAAACGGTGCCGGTGACTCCTTTCCAAACTACAATCATGTCCACCTCGACCGCATCCATGGCCAGATAGTAACGTCCGTTGGAACAATCGGTTGATGGGCGGGGGCAGTGCGTGTGCTATTGTACTTTGCTCTCAGTGGCACAGCAGCATCTTCAGGTATTTCTCAGATGATGTACTACTACATCCAGGCCTTCCTGGAGAGTGCTGCCCACGTGTGCAAGGAGGACGGCCAGCTGGCCACTTGCACATATTACGAATATGCTGCCTCAAGAGTGAATGGTCTTGGAGATTCATGCCGTTCCGGTCACGCTGCTCCCTCACTTTGGCGGAGGTTGTGGTTGTGACGTCAGCTCAGTGCTTGAGCTGGAACCTGTACAACTGCGACTGGGCTAGTCCTGGCGTGAAGAGAATCATACTCGGCATGGCAGCGGAACTGAGGCAAGCCGAAATGGCAGGAACGAGAGCTGCAACCGGAGGTGTGGTGGTTTGCTGCTTGACTGCGAGCAGATGGTGAGAGAAGGGAGTTGTGACGTCGAATTCACGGCGGATGGGCACTGGCATGACCAGACTGTGGCCCACATGCTTTTTAAACCTGCTTGAGCCTCTGCGCAAACCCGTTTCGCAAAACTCATGTGCGCACACAGTGCTTGTGCGCACAAAGGAGTGCATAAGGTATGCGTTGTGCATTCTAGGAATTGGAGTTTTTCCCGGGTGAGCCACTGCCTGCCAATCGTTTTGTTGTTTGTGTTTGTGTAGAGCAGTGCAGTTTCGCGCTTGAACTGTGGCTTGAACTTTCGGTAAGGGGCTTCACGGGTCGTCTTGGGGTTTGGACTGTTCAGAGTTTAGAGTTCGTTTTGGCTGTCCATGTGGAGGGGAGCGAGCCGCGGGTTTAGGGTTCTAGATCTTACTGAAGGTTTGCGGTTGGGGTTTCGGGTGCGCACCTGTTCAACATTCAGGGGCTGCCTGTCGTTCCGAGTTGAACAGCTGCGCAGTCTGCCTAATCCAAATCCTTGCATCGCATTGAACAAGGACGTGGCCCCGTTTGAAAAGCACGGCTACCAATCCCGGTTTGGCGATGGCCGCGATCGGTACGTAGACCACCCCGTTTTTCACAGGCACCAGACTGTTGTCTGCAGGGGTCATGGGTCCAGGCGAAGCAATCAGAAACATGTCGGACTGCACCTCATCAAGTACTGTTTGCTTTGTTGACAGGCTCTGCGACACGGTGGCTGTGTGCTGGAGGATGAATTCGTCTGCATCCGCGCCTGGCGAGGATGAAGCAGAAGTCCGTGGCGTTACAGCACCTTGCCTGAGCTCGGTCGCAACTGTGAAACCCGTAGCAGACGACAATCTCAGTAATTTTGTGTTCTATTCATTTGGTTTCTTGCTGTGGCCTTCCGGCTGATGGAGACTTTGTATCCGCAGCGTTGAAGCGACGATCCTGGCAGCCGGTAGGCATTGACTAGATCTGGCTCGGGTCGTCGAGCAATGGCTGACTCTTCGCCTGCTTTCTGTGTGAACGTTTTTGGCAGACATCATGTGTTTGTGCATGGAGCATTCAATCAGTATGATGTTGTGCTCCTGCGGCATGTCGCAAATGCTGATATATAAAAGCAGTTATTTGCGGAAATCTCGCCTTGGTGAGGCACCACCTGTCACATATGTCCAGAAGGGTGTCCATGGGCATAGCGCGCCTTAACCTCTGCTTGTGCACGGATTTTGCCTGAACAGTGGCGAGCTTCGTGCTGGGTATCCGCGGGACCATAACTCACGTTGACCACCACCCCTTTGCACGGATGTGATCTTCAAATGTGTATGTTAGCATTGATCTAAAGGTCCTTGTCTTCGGGTTTATACAAAACAGATTTGATGTAAAACAATATGTCCACGAAAGGTCTGCGATGGGTCCGCGAAAGGAAAGCAGTGATCCGCGAAAGTTTTCACGTAACAGACTTGGGACACATGAGACCCATAAAGAACATGCTATCATGCTGTTGGTGTACCATTTACTGCCCAGTGCTGAAGTACACCCCAAGCCAGGGTTTGAGGCTTGGAAACCAGGGACTTGTGTGGGCACTTGCTGCCTCAGCGATTCTGCGGCCAGGGACAGGCCAAGGCAAACTTGTGAGCAGGTCTTGCCTACAGCAACGAGTGTTGTAAAACCAGCCTCAGCGTCCGACTGTGGCAGTTTTGTGGAAATCGTTGTAGGTTTTCCGCGAAGGAGCCGCAAAAGATATGTGAAAGACGCCGCAAAAGACGGCCCAGCATTTGCAAGGCCATGACTGCCACCACTACTACTACTACTACTACTACTACTACTGCTACTACTACTACTACTACTACTACTACTACCACTACCACTAGCACTACCACCACTACCACTACCAC